GCGTCTAAGAGAAGATGTTTGTCAACAGCAGCTACAACGCTGGGAGTTACAGTGAAAGTTCAGCCTCAGCTCTGACAAATTAATGCAAGAAAACACATATTTTTAGAGCTGCGCTGATGGACCGAGTAGGAGTCAGACTGAGTTCCAGCAGGCTCTCGTTGCATCTTCCTTTTGGGGCTTTGGATGACTCTGAGATTTGAAGACGTAATCAGCAAACTGCCCACATCAGTGTCTTTCTGAATGCGATAAACAAGATGAACTTTAAGAGAAACGTAGACGGGAATCATTCCCAGCACATCAAATCAGATGAAGTGGCCCAAAATATTATCAAGTGTTTCCAGGCAACCGCGAGTTTGGGCGCCATTAAAGAAGCGCGATGCTGCAGCGAGCTCAGGGCGTCGTTCATGGGAAACGTTTCCCCTGTGGTAAGAACCAGCGCTGGTTAGCGGGACGTTTCTGAAACAGACTTAAAGAGTCTTTAACAAATAAAATCACTCAAACTGTCTCTGGCTCCCAGAAGCCAGTCCGCCCTCTGCGTTATGTAACATCCTGCATCCAGCAGCCTCGTGTAAATATTGTCCAAAAGTCAGTCTTTACCGAGGGGCAGGTATTTATAGACAGCAGGTCAAAGCAAAGGGTCATAAGTAGATCTGCTCGCAGCGAGAGCAGACGATGCGTATCCATGGCGAAGTCAGAGTGGATGATGCAGCATGCTTTAAAAGAGCAAAATATCATGTCACATCAGCCACAACACAACCAGATTAGCTGAGAGGTCCAGTAAATGTGACTCGTCCCTCACGTCTGGAAGGCTCTTTAGTGGTCTGCTTGGAAGTTATTATAGAAAGAAAAAAAGGAGGGGCTGCGTACAATTAGATTAAACAGGATGAAAATGGGATTTTCAGACAATGTCAGGTTAACCTGTGACAGCAGAGAGCGGTTTGACCATTAGAGCTGATTGGTCGTGAACGGGTCGCTGTTTGGCAACAAAGTCAAGTTCAAAAGTGCAAAAAAAAAAACCCTCATGATTACTGAGTTTCATAACACTGATCAGGAGCCTTTCTCACAACAGACCTGTTTGTGTGGTCACGGTAAGGTGTGATGAACATCGTTAAGGTTTCTCTCTGCTCATTGGTTGAACCTTAAAAACTCTGTGAATGAAAGGTTAATTCCTCCATGAGAATAATCCCTTCCTGCTTTATAAGTTGTTTAGCTGTGATTCTACGACGTTACTTCCTCTAGAATATACAGATCTATGAGGTCCTGGCCTCTACCCAGCCACCGCTCAAGCACACCAGCTCACATTTATAGAATTATAAATGGAAACATGCACATTAACAACCGAAAAGATGGAAAAGTTGTGCATGAGCTCAAATAAAGCAACGAGCAGCATCCCAAACACAGTAACAGCATGAAGATGTCGCCCAGACACATCCTACACATGAAGTAAAATGCTTTTTTTTGTTTTTTAGTTTTGAAGCTAGTTAGTTCTGACCTGCAACGCCCCAAAACCAGATGGCAAATATAACTGCACCGACAAAATCAGCTGCTTTAAACTTTGTCTCGCTGGAAAAAACAAAACCAATTCATTGAATCGCCTCCTTTTAGGCACAATTAGCTGCATTTAGTTTGCACTGCATTACATGTTCTTGTGAAAAATAGTTCTGTCATGATATCAGACTTCTACCAGACAGTTATCATGACCAGATTATATACAGCCGTGACTCGATAATCTGGCACTAAATATAAAACCTTCTTCTACGTCGGATAGCAAGGCTGTGGGATTGTCAAGACGGAGGTCCAGATACGAGGAGGGCTTGATGCTGGAAGGCTCATTAGTTGTTAATTATTGTTCATAGTTGTTATAATAACTAGTAGGGCTGGTCCCAATAGAACTTCCTGGTCTCAATTAAAGATGAATATCAGAATATTCGTCCCGGTCGGGGGACACTTCCACCCCGGGGCAGCGCTCTGACGGGGTGGAAGTGTCCAGAACACACAGGCAGTACTTGGCTGCTGATGCTAGTTTAGTTAGCGCTCACACTTCTGTTTCCACCATCGGTGGCGGCGGGGGAGTGGCAGATACGCTCCACCGTTACCATCCATGTTTACTTCCATAAACACTGAGCACGCTCGCTGCGTGTGACGTCGTCGTGTCCTCTTCTGCGCATGCGGGACACTTTTGGCTCGTATGAAGTTCACACAGCAGATCACATACAAGTCGCATTGAACTGGAAACGCGAAGGAAGTCACAAAGAAATCCTCATTGAGCATCAAGTCCTGCAGTGTGAACGTAGCCAATCTGTGGGATTGTTCAGTCAGATAATACGCCGTCATCCTGATTGGTGACATTAAATGTCATGTCGGAGTCACAATCCAAGGCTGTCGCTATGTTAAGACTGTTTTTATGGGTTCTGTTGGTTTTTCCTAAAAACCTGTCGGATAGCAGGTTCTGGATTGTTAAGGGTCGATTATCGAGTCATGACTGTGTCACAACTATCATCCTTTTCTGTATATCGAGACACCATTTGTGAAAAAGCTCATGTTAGTCAGATAAATACCAGCTATGTTTAGGTAGCTGAACACTGAAGAATGACTGAAGGTGAAGAAAAGTTAATTATAACTACGTGTTTTTTATTCCTTGAGCTCAAACGTGGATTTAAATGTGGATGCTTGAGGCCTTTTCACTGTCAGTAACTTCTCTGTTGCTTCTTTTTCTACTTGGTGACTCAAAGTGTAGGTGCAGATGCCCTGAACACGGCTGTGTTTTATTTTATTTTTTATTTCTTGTTTTCTTGGCAGCATGTGCAACAACATTGATTCACAGTATTAAAAATAAGACGCTTGCATCAGAGCCGTGATTGTGCCGCTCTCGCCTCCATCTTCTCCGTATTTTTATCGTTCCAGGGATTCAAACTGGTAAAGTTCCAGCTGCAGGTCTGATTCCTCCACCTGCTTTGTGTTATTTTTAAGTTGAACTTGCCAAGATGTTGGACTGAAAATATCTAGATTAGTGAGGTTCTGTAAAAGGTTTAAATATAATGTTTGCTATTGTATTTGTCCACAGACTTAAATAAGGTGAACATTAAAAGGTGTAGTAAGCCATTTATTACATGGTTTTAAAGTGACGCTTTCTCAGTTAGATGCAATTTTAAAACTTCCATTAAAATTATGTCATGAAATTTCACTAATGAGCAACGAAGTAAAACAAATCTTCAAGTCTTAGATTTGTTTGCAGGAAGTGTAGGTGAAAAATGTTAGTGGGGCGGAGGCAGGTGATGTTTTTCAGGTGATGGAAGGCTGTTTTAGTGACAGAATTAATGTTTTGGGTGAAGGTGAGCTTAGTGTCGAAAATGACGCCTAGTGGGGCGAAGGTGACGTGGAGGAGCTGGAAATCTTTAACTGTAGAGGTGAGGGAATCAGGACCAATGATGAGGATGTCGGATTCACTGGTGTTAAGTTTAAGAAAATGATTTTGCATCAAGAGATTCATGTCTGAACGGCAGTTTGGGAGGCTGGAGTTGACAGGTTTAGTGAAATGTAGAGCTGAATGTCATCAGCGTAGCAGTGGAAACGGAGACGATACAGTTGACCCACTGGGCAAATGTAGATGTGAAAGTGGTTCAGCCTCCAGACGCCACAAGGTTTCAGTACATGTTTGGTAATTATCAGATTTCGTCTTGACTTTTCTGTTCCTTTTTCTTTTTTACAGCTGAGAAGGATGCAAGCAGAAACAGCCATCCATCATCTCTTCACCTTAATCCTCACCAGGGTCATGGGGGGCGGAGCCTATCCCAGCTGACTCAGGGTGAAGGCAGGTTCACCTGGACAGGTAACCAGTCTATCACAGGGCTACACTTAGAGACAGACAACCAAGCACACTCACATTCACACCTACGGACAATTTACAATCACCAATTAACCTCAGCATGTTTGTGGACTGTGGGAGGAAGCCGGAGAACCCGGAGAGAACCCACGCTGCACGGGGAGAACATGGAGACTCCACGCAGGAAGATCCCGGGTGTCCTCACCGGGACGTGAACCGGCGACCTTCTAGCTGTGAGGCGACGATGCTAACCACTGATCCACCCCCTTAAAAAGTTGCATGATTCGGCTGCATCGTGCTGTGATGACACCTCGAGGCCTGAGTGGACGGATGTGTTTCAGTTGTGTTGTTTTGTGACTCCAGTCATGTTGGCTGTCAAGCAACTGGGCAGTCGACTCGCTGCAGTCGCACACAGACACACACACACACACACACACACACACACACACACACACACAGACACAGAGGAAATTCAATCACTTAAATGCGACCATGTCACATTAACAAGGACACTCGGCTTCCTCTCAGTCCTCCCCCATCCATCTCCTGTCTCCCCCTCCTCCCCTCCATCACAGTCAGCTGCCCTTCATGTTGTTTACGGAGGAAATCAACAGAAAAATTGTCGGACGATTCGCAGGTCAGCGCCAGTTCACTGCAGTTCTTCCTATATGTTGGTGTGTGTGTGTGTGTGTGTGTGTGTGTGTGTGCTGGTGTATACGTGTGTGTGCGCGCACATGTGTGTTTGTGCGTCTGTACCTGTCATCACCAGTCGTGTTTTGCCCTGCTCGTTGCCGTAGTAACCACAGTTTCTGGCTCTGTCACAGCCTCTCAAACAAAAAACATGACAGACTGATGACGTCAACACGCGTGTCAGGTCGGACGCACCTCTGCCACGCAGCGCCCGGCGCCCCGCCGGCCCGTGTGTCCGTCTGGTGTTCGGGAGGCTTTTGCTTCCCGAGTTTACTTACAAACCTGCAGGACATTGGCACTTGTGTACGGCCTGCGTGTGTGTGTGTGTGTGTGTGTGTGCGTGTGTGTGTGTGTGTGTGCAGATGTGGTAAAAGGGTTTCAACGGCAGTCTGTTTCCTGTCTTTAATCCCCGTGTCTGTTCTGCTTACACCGCCACATGTCGGACAAACACACACACACACACACACACAAACACACACACACACACACACACGCACACACACGAGTCATGCTTTCGTCCTGCCTGCTTTTGACCTACAGATAATCCGCCTCACAGTCTTCATTCAGTCAGTCACTCATTCACAAACACGCCGAGTGGCCGAGCCAGTCAGCCACGCAGGAGGCGGAAACTGTTCTGGAGCTTTCTTTACTTTGTGCGTTTAACTGCTGCAGAGTATCGAAAAACACTCTTGACATAAACTCCTCATTGCATTGATTAGTTTTTATAGAATTCATATTAATGGTATATTCAAAAAGTAGGCTTATGTTCAAGTGTGAGCCTTTATTAGACAGAAAACTAGAACTTTGGACGACAATGTTTGTCCTCTCACGCTGCCACGTGAATATATTTTCATTTTATAACAGTCCTGTTTCACTAACTATGCCAGAGGAAGATGCAGCACGTCCCTTTACACACTGCACAGCTCCCAGCATGCAGTATTCCTCCCTTTATTATAATTATAAAAGTATTATTAACATGTTAACTGTACAAAAACAGCCAAAAGAGCTATTCCCTGTCAAAAATATGCATATTTACAATAATAATTAGTTTTTCCACGACATCTTATTGTAAAATTAAGCTATTTTTCCGACTTAAATCAGCTGAAAATGTCGTTATATTACAGACGTGCCGTTGTTTGAAAGTAAAGTGATGTATATTAAGGATAAAAAGGGGAAATATTGTTATTTTACAGATAATTGCTGTTTGTGTGGCTGTTTTATTTCATTTTTATACTAGTCTACCCTTTCTAATGTATATTCTGGCCCCCCTGCAGCCAGATGTTTGTGCAGCTGTGACAAGTTTTGCAGCAGAACGCCTGCATACATGCGGATTAAGTGAATCTCGGCTCTGGTGAACCTTCACGACAAACAGCAAACCACACTGACAGTCTGCTTTTGTCTAAGCGCCCCTGCTGCACTACAAACTACTCAATAAATGACAGTTATGAGGCAAGAGGAAATGGTACCAACAGGTCCTTTGAATGACGGTATTGTTCCGACAGCGACTGCGGTCACAAGCTGGATAACCGACCGTCAGCCACCAAGCTGCATGTTTAGGAGACTATTAATGGAATGATGCAAATTATAAGAAAGACGAGCTGCACTAGTCGACGCCACATCACAGACAAACTTCAACAGCGAGTGATGCGACACTCTGCCGGGTCGTGTTTGGCGTCACTGGAACACGTCGACTCCTCACACCTTTGGCATCCCAGCTGCCTGTGAGCTCCTCAGCACCAGCCTGTTTGATGCGATCCAGAAGCGTGGCCTCGTGCCCGAGCTCCAAGACAGTATTTATGGCAGGAAAGGTGCTAAAAACAAGCTTCCTTCTGGCTACAATCATGAGCTGCTCTCCTGTTCTCATTAACTGAAACAATATTTGTATTAGCGGCGCAGTTTGAACGTTGTAGGCGTGGGTTTTTTTTTTGTTTTTTTTGTTGCTCTGCACGTGCCCTCGGGTTGCAGATGCTGCGAGCCAAATATGAATAAGTTTGAATATGAGCTCACCGTTTCATCCTGAGCTGCTTTGACTATTCAAAGCACGCAGAGAGATTTGAATGAAGAAAAAGTTTGTGTGTGAGAGAGAAAGAAAGAAAGAAATGGAGAGCAACACGATTCTCGGCTTCTTTCTTCTGGTTTCATGGCCACAGAAATACTTCTCCAAGATGAGCAAAGACGTGCTTTATGGGACGCACTTCTTCCATTTTTATCTGGATATTTAAGTTCCCATATGTGTCCACACTACAGTCAGTTTATTTCAAGACTTTTGGACGTTTATTTGATTTGTATCCAGAAGATTATCAACACTTTCTTATTTATTTACTAGATATGAAGCCTGTGTCTTCTGTTCTCTGGTTGCTGGTTTGTAACGTTACTTGTTTTTGTCCTTTGCCTAACGCGAAGTCACGACAAGCGTCTGTCCTCGCTCGGATATAAATTAATTCTTTATTGATTTTCCTGCGGCAAACCGAGGTCAAAACGAACATATATTTTCCCACAAACTGACGCTTGTTCGTGCCGAGCGTCCGAGTGTTTGTGCTCAAGGCTTAGGAGGAAGTAAGCAGCACAATGGACAAACAGGGCCACTGGTGGGAGTAAACAGGGCCATAAGGCACGTGTGTGTGTGTGTGTGTGTGTGTGTGTGTGTGTGTGTGTGTGTG